AAATTAGCCAGGTGTGGTGGTATGAGCCTGTAGTCACGGCTACTCAGGAGGCTGAGGTGGGAGGATTGCTTGAGCCTGGGAGGTGGAGGTTGCAGTGAGCCGAGATCGTGCCACTGCACTCCAACCTGGGCAGCATAGTGAGACTTTATCTCAAAAAAAAAAAAAAAAAAAAAGATAGGCAGGATTGCCTGACACAGTTCCCAGCTTGACTGTTCCTAGCTGGTGTTCTTCTGTAAAGGAGAGCTTTCTTACCTCTCCCCCAACCTCCATCTCCATGGAGTGAATTTTTTTAAATTCAACATGATATAATCCATTACTATCACATTATTATTCTTTTTGATGCCCAAATTACCCAAAATTTGGCTATTGGGAGCCTTTTCAAGAAGCTCCTGTGTCCTTCTTCTGTTTTGTTTTGTTTTTTTGAGAGGGAGTCTTGCTCTGTCGCCCAGGCTGGAGTGCAGTGGCACAATCTCGGCTCACTGCAACCTACACATCCCGAATTCAAGCAATTCTCCTGCCTCAGCCTCCTTACCAGCTGGGATTACAGGCGCCTGCCACCACACCCAGCTGATTTTTGTATTTTTAGTAGAGATGGGGTTTCACCATATTGGCTAGGGTGGTCTCAAACTCCCGACCTCAGGTGATTCGCCCTCCTCAGCCTCCCAAAGTGCTGGGATTACAAGCGTGAGCCACAGCACCCGGCCTCCTGTGTCGTTTTACTTGGTCCCATTAATGTTTAAGCTTTTCCGTGCTTTCTCACACAAGATGTTCCAGAATCACTTTGCACTTCCCCTGCTGCAGACTTAGAATCAGTCATTTCTTGAAAGAAATCTTACTCCTTTTAGTTGGGAATGGTATTTTAAAATTGACTTTTTACTTTGTAATTTTATTTTATTTTTGAGACAGGCTGTCACTTTGTCTTCCAGGCTGAGTGCAGTGGTGTGATCACGGCTTACTGCAGCCTCAACTTCCTGGGTTCAAGCACGCCTCCCACCTCAGCTGCCCCGGTAGCTGGGACTTACAGGCATGCACCACCATGCCCAGCTAATATTTTGATTTTTTTGCAGAGATGAGGTGTCACTCTGTTGCCCAGGCTGCTCTCAAACTCTTGAGTTCAAATGATCCTCCTGCCTGGGCCTCCCAAAGTACCAAAATTATAGGCATGAGCCACCGTGCCTGGCCTGTAATTCTAAAATGGTTATTTAATATAAATAATTTAAATAAATTTAATACAGCAGCAGATATACTGCTCCTTTAAAGAACAGGGCTACCCCATAGGCAGTGTGCCCAGAGCAGCCTCAGGCCACATTCTTGTTTCCCCTCTCAACCTCCTAAAGTTGTGCATATTTCAAGGCTAAATCCTTAGCCTGACTGGTTTCAGATGAGGCCACATCTCCAAAGGCTGTCCTAGGTCCTTCCTAGGATTTCACTGAAGCCCCAAGTCAGTTACTTTTACCAACTTTCTTTTTTTCTTCCCTCCTTACTATAGAGTTAAGAGGAAAGTGCACTATTTCTCCCGGTCATGTCCCTGTCAAGGATAGTAAAAGAAAAAAAGAAAGAAAGACCTAAAAGGGCTACAAATTACTAGAAAAATAGGAGCACACACTTTTCTTTTTAGTGGAAATACAGACTATTTCTATTTGATATGAAAATAACATGATTCTGCGTTGAAAGGACACAATTTAAAATGCAGCAACTCTCACCTATAATCCTAGCACTTTGGGAGGTCGAGGTAGAATTGCTTGAGGCCAGTTCGAGGCTGCAGTAAGCCAAGATTGCTCCACTGCACACCAGCCTGGGTGACAGAGCAAGACCTTGTCTCTAAAAAAAAAGCAAACCTGGCCATTTCACTCATTATGGACTCCATAAGAAACCACTGTTCAAATATTTATGGAGAGACTGTGTGCTTGGAACACAAACATATGTTAAGATCCAGTCCTTCAATGAGCTTGAATTTTGAGTTTTCTAACCGTAGTGGTTTGTGACTTAAAGTTGGATCCTGATAATAACAGAAGGGGGACATGGGAGTGGAGAGTCTCCAAATGGCCTGCCAAGTCAAGTTCCTCTATCTTACTCCAAATTCAAGATGTTTCCCTGCCCTTCCCACCTGAAATCAAAATAGGGCTGCTTCCTAACAGAGCCCAGGATCCCATCCAAAGGTTTATATTGGTTATAGTAAAGAGTACCTTTCCCCTATCTTACCAACACAAACTGTTTCCCCATCTCCCCAGCCTGGAGTCAGGGCCGGGGAAAAAGAGGAACAGGATCAGAAATAGGTAGAGATTCACACCCCTCAGGGTATGTGAACTCTTCCCAGCAAAGGGAGATTGCCTACCAATACAAACCTCATGTTCTGTTCACATTCCATCACCTCAGGGGGAAAAAAAAAAAAAAGAGCAGGCAAGCGAGAGCACATTGTTTTTATGCACAAAGCAAGGAGGAATACATTCACATACGTATATGCATATATAAATATGTGTTCATACAAGGACTGTTGTGGAAAGATATAGTGGAAACTGAAAATAATTGGTGGATAGGGTGAAAAATGAAGAAGAGCTGTACTTTTTAGTAGACTTTTGTGCATGTATTCCCTATTTAAAAATAAATGCCCAGAGACTCCGTCTCAAAAACAATTTTTTTTTTAAATTAAAAAACCAAAGAAACCAAAAATTATCCGGGAGTGGTGGTGCACGCCTGTAGTCCCAGCTACTTGGGAGGCTGAGGCAGGATAATCGCTTGAACCCGGGAGGCGGAGGCTGCAGTGAACCAAGATCGCGCCACTGCACTCCAGCCTGGGCAACAGAAGAGATTCTGTCTCAAAAATAAATAAATAAATAAATAAAAATAAAAATCAATGACTCAATAAAAAAGGTACATGAAAAGAAAAAAATCACAAGGTCATGGGGGAGCTGTTTTGCTGGTGTGGAATGATTCAGAGAACGATATTTGGTAAGAAATGGATTGTAACTGCTTGGTCTGAAGCTGCATGAGAGGATTATATGAGAGTTACTGTAGGTGGCGATCCTCGGAGTGGCTCAATTTTCAAAGGCGAGAGAAACATTGTTTCAAGAAAGTGAATTATCATTTATATAAAATGTTACAAACAAGTGGGAAAAAACGCCGAGCCCCTTGCCGTGCCATTGTTCCCACAATGCCGTGACTCGGATTCGAACCGAGGTTGCTGCGGCCACAACGCAGAGTACTAACCACTATACGATCACGGCGAGCTACCGGGGACCCGTAGGATTCCACTTCTGATTACCATCTTCAACAGTCGTAGGCCTTCCCAGTTTGCGCGTCATCAAATGTCCTACTTCTGGGGCGGGGTTCCAGCCTGTCGCTGAGTCTGATAACGCGCAGGCGCGTTGTACTCCGCCAGTTGCTTTTCTTCCTCTGTTTTGGCCCATTAGCCACGGGCGGTGGTGGTGATGACCTGGGCTCCCTGTGAGCGCAGTGGAAGTTTAGGGGAGACCGCGTGAGCATCCAGGAATGGGGCTGGGCGGAACTCAGACTCGCCTTGGGGAATGCCCATTTCGTATGCCCCGGAGACCCTTGCCGCGACCCGTGGAGGGTTCCGGGCCTGCAGGGGGCGCTCCTCAAGGGTCCTCCCTCCTGCATCCTCCAGCGGTGACCCAATGCCGCCTCTGTGGAGATTGTGGACGCCCTAGAACCGGGTTCCACGTAGAAAAAAAATCAACAAACGCATCTCGCCATCTTCCCAACACCCACTTCCTTCCAGCCTCTCATACTTCCCTGACCGCCCTGACTCCTCCTTCCTCAATGCCCCCGCTATGCCAGGTGCCCACCTAGGCTGTGTCCCGGGGCGGCAGCAGGGACTAAGTCCTATTTTAATTATTGTCCACCAGTGCTCTCGACCCCACGGCGCCTAGAACCTGCCGAGTACACAGCAGGCACTGGCTATTTGCTAAACTCAGAACGTACCATTGGTATTTAACAAGCGAATTCCAGAGAGACCATCTGCCTCTCCAGTGTCACCCGCTCCCATCAATCTTCCCTGTGCAGAGCCGCTGGAGGGATCTTGCTAAACACGATTTAAATATTTTCACTCCGGCCCTCCTCACCCTCACCCCTGGACGGCAGAAACTTTGTCTGCCTTTTCCAGCTCATCTCTTGGCCCTCCTTCAGGGTCGTTCCCCATTCCTCAATTGCACTCATTCACTCTACACGTCCTTGAGAAGCGCCTACTACCTGTCAGGCTAGAGCCTTTGGGCGTTGTTGGGGTGGGGACTTACAAAGAAGACAGAAGACTTATAAAGAGGAATTAAGACCTTTCCTTTTTGGTGAAACCCCGTCTTTACTAAAAATACAAAAAAATTAGCCGGGCATGGTGGCGGATGCCTGTAGTCCCAGCTACTCGGGAAGCTGAAGCAGGAGAATCGCTTGAACCCAGGAGGCGGAGGTTGCAGTGAGCCAAGATCGAGCCACTGCACTCCAGCCTAGGTGACAGAGCAAGGTTCCATCTCCAAAAAGAAAAAAGAAAAGAAAAGAAAGAAAAAGATTTTTCCTTTTCAAGACTCCCTTTATCCTGGCTGCCTGACAAATTCTCATTGTGCCTTTAAGAGCTACTTTGATCCTCACTTCCTTTGCTAAGCATCCTTTTCCTATCATTAGGAATCTGCTACCAGGGCTTCCGTGGAAATTTATACATAGGTCTATAACACTCTTTAGACTGGCGAGTGCTCTGTGCTTTGTCTTCAAGAACGCGCCCAGGCTCAAAGGACCCAGAAGCCTGTATCTTTCCAAAGTCCAATTTAGCCAGAGCCAGCGTAAACGTCGCTCTCAAATGTCACAAGGAGATCGGGGTCCATTTTCCACAATGTTGTGAAATCAGGATTAAAAAACGGATTGGTACAATAAAACGTAGCCCCCTTGCCGTGCCATTGTCCTCACAATGCCGTGACTCGGATTCGAACCGAGGTTGCTGCGGCCACAACGCAGAGTACTAACCACTATACGATCACGGCGAGCTACTGGGGACACGGGGCCTCGACTTGTCGCCTGAACTCTTCTCTGTTGAAAGCCCCGCCCCCTTGCAATGTCATTGATTTGTCACTGTTTGTTCTCGCCTATCTCCACCCTCGCAGCCATCTGAGGGCACGCAGGCGCATTAATCTCTGCTCGCCCGATTCTGGTCCACACTTGCCTGCGGACCAGACACCCCGGTTTCTCCACCGTGGAGGCTGCTCTCGGGGTTCCTCTTATCCCGCACCTCAAGGAAGTTTTGTGGTGGTGGGTCAGAACTGATTTTCCTTGTTGTGAAATTTAAGAGACAGCTCCAGTCCCAGCTAAAGTCGTTCAGTTAGCATGATAGCCAGGGCATGGTGAGCATCAGAGAGACTTCGGGTCAGCATTCCGGCGTTCCCCAGGGGCTTCACACCATTGCAGGCCCGGACTCATAGGAATCCTTTGGTTGCAAAGCGCTTTCATGTCCCTTCTTCTGCGGTCCGTGTGTACAGCCAAGAGGAGACTTCGGGCTAGGGAGTCCACAGCGCTCCCGGCTGCTGTTGCGGGTGAACGTGGGTGCCAGAGGAACCTGGTAGATAATGGAAGCTTAGGAAAGCTGGAATGGCCGCCATCTAGACGAGAAGGGCAACACTGGGTCACCTGCTCGTCGTGGCGTCCCGGTAGCTCGCCGTGATCGTATAGTGGTTAGTACTCTGCGTTGTGGCCGCAGCAACCTCGGTTCGAATCCGAGTCACGGCATTGTGGAAACAATGGCACGGCAAGGGCGTCTTTTTAGACTGGGAAAGCCACGTTCTTCTGGGAAGCTAACTCTAAAAGCTGCCACTTGTCATAAGGCCAGAGCTGAAATTATAATGGACAATTAAGTGTGAACAAAAAGTTCCGTGGATACTCTGGGGCTTTCCTTTCTGTTTTTAATTTTTCATCTGCTAGTGAATCAGTCATCCCCCACCTTCCCCAATATGTGATTATTTTCTTTTTGTGTAGCTTCTGTGTGGTACTCTTTATTTTACCCTTGTGAATGATCAAATCATATGTTGGGTCCTCTAAAAAAACCTCACACTAGCTAAAACCTCAATACTTTGGGGACAAACGGGTGACAGGAACAATGTGCAAGCATTAATTAAGGGTTAGAAGAATGCAGATTAGACCATACGCTGAACCATGCTTGCTTCAGATCCCATGACAAGTGAAAAATATGACTGCACTAGAGGTGCTGGTTCCTGTAGCCACTGTGAGGGGTGCTAATGAGAGGTTCGTGGCCTCCATCTCCACAGTCTCCTAGGTGAAAGGGGGTTTTCTCCTGGAGGGTTTTCCCCTAATCTACCTCAAGTTTAAGCACATTTTCTTTGCTTGTTTTATGTGGACCTAAAAAACCCAAACTCAACAAATTCAGGTCTGTCATTTGGCATTAGGCAAAATGGAACTGAGTTTTGGATTTGACTTTCAGGCAGCTGGTGGCAGCTATGTCACTGTCAAGGAGGGAATGAGAGGGGACTGAGGAACGAGCCTCTCCAGCTCCTCTCAGCTATCCTGAGGGTGGCAAGGCAAATCCGAGATCATTCTTGGGAGAGATAGACATTGCAGTGGGGTTGCGTCCCCTCTACCCACAGTCAATCAGTAAAGAATGACTGAACAGCACTTAAAAGCAAGGCACTGGCCTCACGCCTGTAATCCTAGCACTTTGGGAGGCCGAGGCAGGTGGATCTCTTGAGCTCAGGAGTTCGAGACCAGCCTGGGCAACATGGCGAAATCCTGTCTCTACCCAAAATACAAAAATTAGGGCATGGTGGCGCGTGCCTGTAGTCTCAGCTACCTGGGAGGCTGAGGTGGGAGGCTTGCTTGAACCCAAGAGGCAGAGGTTGCAGTGAGCTGAGATCACACCACTGCATTCCAGCCTAGGCAACAGAACAAGACCCTGTCTCAGTAATAATAATAATAATAATAATAATAATAATAATAATAATAATAAAAAAGGCAAGGCACTACTGGGGGGCTGTAATCTTCTCAGGTCTCCAGTCTCCCAGTTCCCTACATTTGGTGGGTTTAATGACGCACAACAGGACGGCTCAGACCACGAGAATGTTCTGTGCAAAACAGAATGGGGAAAGGTGAGCCTGAGAACTTGCCAAGCTTTGGATGACTGATTCAAGAGTTATATGTCGGCCGGGCGCGGTGGCTCAAGCCTGTAATCCCAGCACTTTGGGAGGCCGAGACGGGCGGATCACGAGGTCAGGAGATCGAGACCATCCTGGCTAACACAATGAAACCCCGTCTCCACTAAAAATACAAAAAAATTAGCCGGGCGCGGTGGCGGGCGCCTGTAGTCCCAGCTACTCGGGAGGCTGAGGCAGGAGAATGGCGGGAAACCGGGAGGCGGAGCTTGCAGTGAGCCGAGATCGCGCCACTGCACTCCAGCCTGGGCGACAGAGCGAGACTCCGCTTCAAAAAAAAAAAAAAAAAAAAAAAGAGTTATATGTCTAGAAAATCAACATCGTCAACAACAAAAAAGAACTGGCCAACAGGAAGGTGGTGGCTTATATTCCTCCAGCCCCTCACCAAATAACTGCCTTGACAGATTTCAATCTGTGAACTGGAATAAGGTGTCAAGGTGGGATGCCAGGAAAGGCTCTGGCTTTTCCCCTGAAGACCTGCCCCCACTGCCCTGCTGTAGGTGCTTCAGTAGGCAATGAGCTGCTCCCACATACTGAGGAGAAAGTCAGGAGTAGCCACTCTCTAAGAGTACTACAAGGAAAAAGTGTCAACCAAGAGGCTAGGCATGGTGGTTCATGCCTGTAATCCCAGCAATTTGGGAGGCCGAGGTGGGAGGATTGCTTGAGCTCTGGAGTTTGAGAGCAGCCTTGACAACATGGTGAGACCCTGTCTCTACAAAAAATTCAAAAATTAGCCAGGTGTGGCAGTGTGTACCTGTAGTCCCAGCTACTCAGAAGGCTGAGGTGGGAGGATTGCTTGAGCCTGGGAGATGGAGATTGCAGTGAGCCATGATCATGCCACTGAACTCCAGCCTGGGCAACAGAATAAGAACCTGTCTCAAAAAAAAAAAAAAAAGAGTCAACTAATAAAACAAAAATCGCAAAAATTCACCATCTGAGATAACCTGCTAGCCATCCATATCTGAGGTCAGGAATGCTGAAGAAAGCTGAACTGAAAATGTTGTATTGTGACCTAGTTGCAGGAAGAGTGACACGAGGGGAGGGTGCGCTCCTGCACTTCGGACTAATGGCCTTTTTGGCAGCTACACAGAAGTCCAGGAGATGGGCGCATCTGGCTCTCAACATTTCATAACATCGTCTTTTGAGGTCAGTCAATTTTCCTTACAAAACAGACTTTGATAATGACTTCCCTACAGGAAAAAGCATTGCTTTGAACAAGCTTATTGGCACTGTTCTCCTAACTGTGGGTGTTTTGGTTTAGACTCTTAAGAGTCTGGTTAGCATAATTAATTTCCCTTATGCCCACTTATCTCTAGGTACACCGACAAAATGGAGTGTCTGGGCTGGCAAAGCCAAGAGCTGGAGGCCCTGGCCTGGAATGACCTCATCAAGACCCTGCTGCCCTGGGACACTCTCTCTGAGCAATCAGTCAGCACCCCCTTCCTGTTGATCTCTTGCTTTTAAAATTGTTTTATGATTTCTGATTCTGGGAATGTAATCTTTCCTCTTGTCACTTCCAGCTTGAGGTTGGAACTCTTCTCTAGGTCTCAGTGCCAGGAAAGAGGTAGGCAGTATAAGAGCACCCTGTTCACACATTCCAGCTCCAGTTGTTCCCATCTTGGTTGGATTTGTGAATTTCTGCAGGTTTCCAACCTCTAAGTCACTTTGACTTTTTTTCCCTTCCATCTGAGAGACCCTGAGGTACAGTAGTTGACAGTACTAGACTAGTCCTAACTCTAATTAAGGGGTAACATAAATTGGGCTCGGTGGCTCACGCCTGTCATCCCAGCACTTTGGGAGGGTGAGGTGGAAGGATTGCTTGAGCGCAGGAGTTCAAGACCAGACTAGACAGTATAGTGAGACTTTGTCTCTGTTGGGGGAGCTAGCATAGCTTAGAAATGAAGCCTCTAGCCCCCGAAAGTAGGCTGCTTAAGATTTGAATCCCAACTCATCCACTTACTAACTGGGTGACCCTGGGGGATCAACATGTCTCCATGCCTCAGTTTCCTCATTTGTAAAATGATTGTAAAATGATTTCTCATTTGTAAAAGGATTGTTATGAAGATTAAATGAATGAATATTTGTAAAGCAATAGTGCCTGGCACTTACTAAGGCTTACTGAAGTTTTACTTAAATAATACAGTAGATGGGAATATAACATAATGAAATCAACTCCTTAAAAATGAGCACCCTGGAACATAAACATCCAAATGAGTATTGTGTTTCAAATCAGGCATTCCACTTTCTCCAAACAGCTGCCCAAAATATTTTTGGAATTCTTATTTGAAGATTATTTTCAGGGCTAATTTATAAGCCATATGAGTACATCCACCTCAATATTTATAATCACATTCTATTTTGAAATAACTTTTGACTGCTTTTAAAGCCACCTTCAAAGAGAAAAATGTCACCACTGAGTCTTTTAAGATGCAAAAATGTCAATGACAATGCCAGAAATGTTTTATAAGTAACATTCCAGCAAAAGAAAAACAATTTTTTTTTTTGGTAGGAGTGTGTAGACTTCAAAGGGCAAACCTACAAGGGACAACAGTAATTTACAAGCTTCAGATTGTCTGCTTAAACCATCAACCCCATGGCTTCCTGGTTATACTTCCTGGTTATACCTTGTATATCTGGGAGCTGCCAGCCCCCACAGGGGCACAGTGTTGAGCAGCTGCAGTAGCAGCCATATGCCCCTGGACCAGCAGGCTCTGGTCCTGTAAGTCTTGTTCAAAATTCAGAATCTTGATCCACAACTCAGAATTACCCAGTGAAAGTCTTCATTTTTAACAGAGTCCTCTCCAAGTGATTCATCTGCATAAGAAAGTTTGAGAAGTGCTGCTCCAGCCTAAAGCTCTAATGGAATCCTTCATTGTTCATCTTGTGAGTACTTGGGTTACTAGAAGGGACCTGCCTAAATCTACTGAGCCTCATCAATGGGGGTGTCATTGAGGTTTTCACAGTAAGGAGATGGTGATCTGGGAGGGGGTCATCAAAGGGCCCATGTTTAGGGCCGTCTAGGGAGGAGGCAGCACATCTGGATTTCCACTAGAAGGCGCTGTGCCCCAGGAAGTAGTTGTGAAAAGCTGAGGCTGGAAAAGACTCATTTAATTTGCAACATACCACTTCTAACTTAACTCAGCCTGTTCCACAGGGATTCTCTGGATATTTAGGACTCAAATTTCATCCGTCTACTTATCCATCTATCCATCCATCCATCCACCCACTTATTCATCATTCATTCATTCATTCATTCATTCTTCCCATAAACTAGCATCTTTTAGTTCTTAAGTCATGGGGAGCTGCAAAGCTGTATAAGATACTTCTTATCCAGAGTAGTTTATTTTTGAGCTGAGTTTGTCAACTGAGATTTGCCCCTCATCCAAAGTCAAGTGACTAGCACAGACTGTTCAATATGCATTAGTTGGTCTCTTGTTTTTAGGTACTTCTCTCCATATCCACAAAAAGAAACTGTGGGGAGACATGGTGCAGGACTTCATTGCTGTCAAGAGACCTGAAACTAATTCCTGAGTCAGGAAGAATGCAGGAGCTGCCTTGCAGAAGCAAAAGTCTAAATCAATGGCTTCCAAACATTTTAGAACTGATAAACTAGGACAAACTTTTCACCATTGAATGAAAAAATGAGGTCAATGTGGTAAGCTTTTGAAATGCTAAATACATTTATTTCAAAGGACTGTCCTCTAGGTTGAGACAATGCCCTTCTTATTTTTGAGGTATTAAAGTGACTTTTATAAAACTATGGAGAAAGTAGGTGATTGTTTGTTTGTTTTTTAGATGGAGTCTTGCTCTTGGCTCACTGCAACCTCTGCCTCCCAGGTTCAAACAATTCTCCTGCCTCAGCCTCCCGAGTAGCTGGGATTACAGGCATGTGCCACCACACCCAGCTCATTTTTGTATTTTGAGTAGGGATGGGGTTTCGCCTTGTTGGCCAGGCTAGTCTCGAACTCCTGACCTCAGGTGATCCACCTGCCTCAGCCTCCCAAAGTGTTGGGATTACAGGCGTGAGTGCTGCGCCCAGCCAGTGATAGGTTTTAAAAAACATCTTTTCTTGGAAACATTTTAAATTGGCAATGTTGGTCTCCAAAATTAGTTTTGAGTTACTGGCCAGTAAAATCTGCAAATACAAAGCTCACTACAGAGCCCAGAGAGCAGAAGAATCAGGCTGAGCAGAAATGGTCCTGGGTGAGTAGAGGGTCTGAGGAGGCATGCTCAGAGGGAGATGTGTTCCTGTTCTGTTGGGCAATGGTCCATGCTGACACCTATCCTCCCGCCCAACAACCAGTAGTGCCTAGTACAATCTGTGCTAGGCCTTCGAGATATGAATTAAATAAGATCCATTCTTACTCTGAGATCATTTTAGTTCGGGGTTAATCAGATGAGTGAAGAACTAATTAGAACTATGCCAGACGTATATACAAAGTGTATTGGAGCTTAGATCATTGATTCTACCAGGATACAACATGTGATCTGAGTTCCAAGGCATGCATAGTACTTTTCCTGGAAAGGGAAAGAGAAAGGATATTCTACAGCTACTCGGGAGGCTGAGGCAGGAGAATCACTTGAGGATGGGAGGCAGAGGTTGTAGTGAGCTGAAATAGCTCCACTGTGCTTCAGCCTGGGTGAGAGAATGAGACTCTGTCTCAAAAAAAAAAAAAAAAAAAAGCGGAGAGGGGAAGGGTATTCTAGGCAAAGAGAAAGGCAGAAGTAAAAGCAAGGAAGTATGAATGTAAGTACAGATAGCATAGGAAAAGACAAGTTGTAGCTACAACATTAGATATGGAAGGGAGGGAGGTCAGGGAGGGCAGATCACATGAGGCCAGGAGTTCAAGACTAGCCTGGCCAATATGGCGAAACCCCATCTCTACTGAAAATACAAAAATTAGCTGGGAGCAATGGCACATGCCTGTAATCTCCCCTTAAACAAATCAACAAAGAAACGACAAAGATATGAAGGAGAGAGTGGAGGATGAGAGGGTGGAGCCAAATCGTGATGAATCTCTTATCCTTATTGAGTCAGGCCTCTTTCCTGGAGGCTGATAACATTGCTTTGGGGATCCATTGACAGCCATAGCCTTGTTCTCCAAACTAATACACCTATGATAAAATATGAGGGATTCACAAATTTCCTGAAGGCTGTCCATAGGCTTTGTGTCAGGCATTGCGGTGAGAGGGGCATTTAAGTTCCCATTTTTAAGCAGAAGAGAGACATAGTCATATCTGTGTTTTAGAAATGTTAGGTGTAAATGGATAATTATATCCTGATAAAAGTCTTTATTCAGGAGAGACAGAAGAGAATTTCTGCTCCTTGGGCTAGTAGTTGATGTTTTAGTGTAGGGACTTAATACTCATCTGGGGATGGACGAGGGACTCTTCCCTCAAATCACACCCATAGATGTTTTATCTTTAGCGTGGAGGTACAGGGGATGAACATGTTGGATGGAAAAAAAAATGGATATGAGGCTTGAGTGTGTCATCCAGAAGATCACTAGGATGGCTAGATAATAGAAAGGAGAGCTATATTGGTGATATCAGTTTGCAGCTGGGAAGAGAAAGTCTCCAACCTGGGCCAATGGAGCTCTTTCTTCTTCTTCTTCTTTTTTTTTTTTTTTTTTTTTTTTTTTTTGAGACAGTATTTTATTCTGTTGCTCAGGCTGGAGTGCAGTGGTGTGATCACAGCTAACTGCAGCCTTGAATTCCTGGGCTCAAGCCATCCTCCCATCACAGCCTCCCAAGTAGCTGGGACCACAGGCACATACCACCACACTTAGCTAATTTTTGTATTTTTTGTAGAGACAGGATTTCACCATGTTACCCAGTCTGGTCTTGAACTTCTGTGCTCCAGCGATCCACCCACCTCAGCCTCCCAAAGGGCTGGGATTACAGGTGTGAGCCACCTCACCTGGCCTGCTCTTTCTTCAAGGAGGGGAAGGACAGGTTGGGTTTTATGCTTCACAGAGTTTGTGTCATACATATTCAGCAGATTTGGGGAAAAGCTATACATATTTATGAGGGGAACTGAGTGTATGTGCAATGAGTAAACATGTATGTAACATACATACCATGTTTACTTTGGGGTAAGGTTTTGGCATTAAAATGAGGTGGAATTGGCTGCACATCAAAAGGTGAACTATAGGACACAAAGGCAATTTGTGCACAGCCTCTATAAGCTGTCTGAAACTGGCTTAAGGTCTGCAATAGCTTCTGAGAAAAGAGTATTTGTAAGGCTGGTCCTCTGTCTAATCAGACTGTTATCTGGGTTTTAAATCAGAGTTCATAGCTCCTATTGTTAGGGACCTTAGCCATAGGAATTTAGCAATTTGCTATGCCAGCTTGAACCTTGGACCCATAAATAAGTTACTTCCCTTAACCTTTGGGTCTATCTTACTTGATAAAGGGGCATCTATTTTGGTCTCTCAGATCAAAAGAGGAAGATCTAATATCAAGTATATAATGTTTTCTAGAGTCAGCGTAGCCAAAACGGCATGAAAAGAGACATATCCATGTTATACTGATATCATTCTTAGTTTTGAGCATTTGACATGATGGTACAATGTGCAAATTTCAAATGTAATTTTAAGTTAAAAGGGAGAGATACATACAAAAATTGCAACAATCTGACTTGAATTTGTTTTATTTCCAAACTTTCTTCTAAATTTCAGTCAGGCTAGCCACGGTGTCTCATGCCTGTAATCCCAGCACTTTAGGAGGCCGAGGTAGGCGGATCACTTGAGGTCTGGAATTCAAGACCAGCCTGGCCAACATGGTGAAACCCTGTCTCTACTACAAATACAAAAATTAGCCAGGCGTGGTGGTGAGCACCTGTAATCCCAGCTACTCAGGAAACTGAGGCAGGAGACTCGCTTGAACCCAGGGGGTAGAGGTTGCAGTGAGCCGAGATTGCACCATTGCACTCCAGCCTGGCCAACAGAGAGAGACTCCGTCTCAAAAATAAAAATAAATAAATTCAAAAAGTCAAACTGTTTCTGTGTCATGACTACTCTGGTTGACTGGCCTTGTCCTGAGTCTAGATAAATTATTTTTAATCATATAATCAAAGCTGCAAATAACTTCTTTTTCCTTTAATTCTCTTTGGTCAAATGCTCCAAGAAAACTCACAGTAATTCACAAGTTCATATGTTCACAAATTCTCTGATACTCCTCCCTTCAAGAAGTAGAGCTTAGCCAGGCTTGATGGCACAAGCCTATAGTCCAGCCACTTGGGAGGTTGAAGTGGGAGGATCACCTGAGCCCAGGAGTTTGAAGCTACAGGGCACTATGATCATGCCTGTGAATAGCCACTGCACTCCAACCTGGACAACATAGCTAGACCCCATCTCTAAAAAAAAATTTTTGTAAAGAAGTAGAGGCCGTGCGTGGTGGCTCACACCTGTAATCCCAGCACTTTGGGAGGCCCAGGTGGGTGGATCACTTGAGATCAGGAGTTCGAGACAAGCCTGACCAACATGGTGTAACCCTGTTTCTACTAAAAATACAAAAAAAAAAAATGAGCAAGGCATCATGGCGCATGCCTGTAATCCCAGCTACTCAGGAGGCTGAGGCAGGAGAATCATTTGAACCCAGGAGGCAGAGGTTGCGGTGAGCCGGGATCACACCACTGCACTCCAGCCTGGGTGACAAAGCAAAACTTTGTCTAAAAAAAAAAAAAAAAAAAAAAGAGTGAGATAATCAATGTCTGTCTTTTAAAGCTGCTAAGTTTTCAGGTAATTTGTTACACTGTGATAAATAACTAATACAGATTTTGTTACCTAGAAGTGGGGGCACTGCCATAACAAAAACCTAAAATGTGAAAGTGGCTTTGTAGGGGCCGGGCGCGGTGGCTCAAGCCTGTAATCCCAGCACTTTGGGAGGCCGAGACGGGCGGATCACGAGGTCAGGAGATCGAGACCATCCTGGTTAACACGGTGAAACCCCGTCTCTACTAAAAAATACAAAAAACTAGCCGGCCGAGGTGGCGGACGCCTGTAGTCCCAGCTACTCGGGAGGCGGAGGCAGGAGAATGGCGTGAACCCGGGAGGCGGAGCTTGCAGTGAGCTGAGATCCGGCCACTGCACTCCAGCCTGGGTGACAGCGCGAGACTCCGTCTCAAAAAAAAAAAAAAAAAAAAAAAAAAAGAAAGTGGCTTTGAAATTGGGGAGCCTTGGAGGAAAGTGTTAGTGAAAAGTCTGAACACCTTGAAGAAGCCTCAGGGCCCTTGAGGAGATTGTAAGTGAGAGCACAAAGGAGGAAAGTGAGGAAAATCTTGCTGTCAATTGGAGGAAAGGGGTCATTACGATAGAGCAGCAAAAAGTTTCTGCCACCTGGGGTAATGTAGAAAGTAAAAATGTACCAAATGAACCGCATGATCTAGCGAAAAGATTTCCAGGCAACCTGTTGAAAGCGTCTCCTGGTTTCTTCTTATCGTTCATAGTAAAATGCAAGAGGAGAGAGATAAGTCAAGAACTATTCAACATGAAGGACATGAAGGAACCAGAATATGAGGGGTTTGAAAATTTTCAGCCTCTCTAACTGGCTAAATGTAAGAGATAGATTCGGTTTTTGGGGTTTTGTTTTTGTTTTTGTTTTTTTAGAGACAGGGCGTCGCTCTGAGGTCCAGGCTGGAGTGCAGTGGAATGATCATAACTCACTGTAGCCTCAAACTCCTGGACTGAAGCAATCCTCTTGCCTTGGCCTCCTGAAGCTCTGGGGTTATAGGCATGAGCCACCGTGCCTGGCCAAGAAGTGAATTCTGAGCAAAGATCAAATCTAGGGCACTACTGGGAAAACATGGTCTAAAGACAAAGTAAAATGC